TCTGAGTTTACAAGCTGCTTCTTTGGAATGAAGGATTTTGAGCCAGCAGTGCTGTCTAGAAGGTTAAGTTATTTAGCAATGCAATTTCACGCCGGGGATTCGGTGGTGGTTTGATGTGCCCTTCCTTCCCTGCCAGAGCTGATGTAAATAGAGCCATGCTCCATCTTGACTTTGACTCAAAAATGATGAAGTTTGGGCACTGTGTGCATGCAGTGAGCATCTGTGGCATTGAGTGTCTGTAATGCTGTGCTCAGGAGCCTGAGAGTGCAGTGAATGCAGTAGCATTCTGCTTCCCTCACGTCCTGTCCTGCTGGCTGGAGAAATACTCCTAGTGATCACTTTTGGCCTTGTGTGCAGGTTCTAGAAGCACTGTGGTGTCTGGGATGGGTCATAGCCCTGAGGTTGGATGCTGGACTGGATCTCATTCTGCCCAACAGGCAATGACCCTTCAGAGCATCACCTATTCCTACTTAATTGTTATTAATTTTACATGTTTTCATGTATGAACTGTGATTCTACAGGAAATGATTTGTAGAATTAGGGTTAGTCCAAGTCTGTGAGTCATGTGTAGGTTTGTCTGCTGCTCTCTCTGAAGTATGACAAAGTTGTCTTCCCTTTTGGTCACCGTGTTGAATGCTGATTTGGGGACAGAGTGGAATGTGGGAGTCATTCTGCATTTCTGAATGGAAAACACTTGATTTATGCATATTTTGTTATGTATTTTTGCTGTTTGTGAGTAGCCTCAGTACAGTAGCAGATTTGTTTTCTGTATATTTGTAATTTTTTGGCTAAATTGTCAGTGAAATATTCAAAGCTGACATGGTACAGTGACTGTTCTGACTGTTCACCTTCTCTGAAGGCTGAAAGTGAGTTGGGTGAAGGAATCTGGAACACCTGAAGCTTCCCTGTAGGGAACAACGTAGCTTTATTTTGGTTTTAAGATATTCTTTGCCTTGGCTGTAAGTTTCTCTGGTCTGTACAAGACATACCTTTTACCTCTTTCTTTTGTAATGCAGATTATTATTATTATTGGAAACATCATTAAAATAGATTTTTAAGCACTTGTTTACATGTTTTCTGACACTGCAGCAAATATGAAAAGTCAGAGGTTTGAAGGTGTTGAAAGGTTGTGTTGTGATGTAGCACAGGTGAAGGGCAGAGTTCTCATGTCAACTGCACTGATCTCTGCTCTTGAGTGATTTGTAGGGCAGCTTGGGGGCCGGGACATGGGGAACTGGTGAGGAAGTCTGGGTTTGTGTTCGTTTGCAACAGAGATGGTTTTCAGTCTGCAGAACATCAATTTTAATATGTATTAGACATTTAATTGGGCCTTAGATATGTGTCTTAACACATGAGGAGTGCAGGAAATGCCAGATGTGTGTCCAGGAGCATGACAATACCTGTCTGAGCAGCTCAGAAAAGCTTGAGGAGGTGATGGAGTGATTTGAAGATTAGCAGCAAGTGTTGTGTGTAAAATGTTTGAACTGGGAACATCTCTAAGCCAGAGTCACAGACATCATCTTTTGCTTCTATGTTCATAGGTATAAAAGAAATAACATAAGTTGTAAACACCAAGTACCAACAAGTCAATGGTTTTATTCTGCACATATAATACATTTGGACTAAGCTTAGTATTCTGTACTAAAGCAAACACACCAGGTGTCTGCAAGGTAACCATGTGACTGTCTCTCTTGATTTGCTAGACATAGAGAACATTCAGAGTCTGAAAGGAAGAACTGAGAGCCAGAGGAGCTGAGTCCATGCTGCCCTTGCAGAATAAGTAGGTGAAGAATCCTCCCCAGGGCTGACCTGCAGCTGGTGCAGAGCACAGCTTGGTTTTCCCTGGTACCAGGTTAGAAAGTGTCTAATCCCCAGAGCCATGGGGACTGTTCCTACTGTTAAATATGTGGTTAAGTTCTGCTCAGAATTAGGAACTCTCAGCAGATGTCAAAGACTTTTGAAGCCTCAAGTTCAATTTCTGTTTCTTTTCCAGATGAGAAACTGTATAAACAACAGCTTATCCTGTGCTTAAAACTCTCCACATTGCTTCTGAATCTGGGCCTGAGAAATAGCACAAGTGTAGGGCAAGGACAAAAGAGGAACAGAAAGTTAAAGACACCATTTACCTGGTAAACTTGGACTTTTCTGTGTGCTTAGTGGGAGGTTAAGATGAATTGGAGATGGGCAGTTGTCACCCCCCAGTGAAGCCATTTGGTATTAACCCACTATTTTAAGGGGGATGTACTGCATTCTGTGCCAGGTTATATTCTCAGTTCTGATAGATTTCATATCTATTCAAGAAGTCTATTATCATGTATATCAATAGATTATATTGCTTCAGTTTTTAGTTTGGCTGAGCAAGCTTCATTTTCTTTCATGGAATGGAAGGGACATAAATGTACCTGCTGCCAATACAGCTGCTCCAGTGGAGTGTTCCCATCTTAGAGATGTCCTGAAACCATTGCTGATCCTCCTGTATCCAGAGGGTGATGTTGTGACACTGGTGAGTATTGGTGATCTCAACCCAGAACTGGAGTGACAGTCATGGACTGATGTGTGATGCTCTGAGTCAGAAATGTGTGTCTCAATGAATCTGTGCTGCAGGAATGGAATGGCTGTGGTGTCTTGGAAGATATAACCCCAGGTGTAAGATGCTCCATACAGCAGGGTTGAAATGGGATGCTGAGCAGCAGCAGGCATGGGAGAGTGTGGGAAGGCTAAATGCCAGCTGCACCAGCCTTTCTGAACTGGGTCTGTGCACCTCTGTGAACATCTGGTACATGGATTACAGCACTGTACAGAGCCAGGAGTTGCAGACAGATGGGTAGAACAGACCAGCAGGCTGCTGTTCAGACATTGCAAGCCATTCATTTCCTAGTCCTGTCTCAAACTTAATTAAACTGTGTCTGAACAAGGCTGCAGCCTGTTAAAAATCCATCTAGTGGAGGCTGTTTTGGGGCAGAATCTGCATAATCAGTTATTTGTGCCTAGTAAGGGCCAGTGGCTCACATCCTGGGTTAGCAGACCTAAATTACTTTCCTAATTTGTGAAAGAAGACAAATTAAGCTGTTCAAGAACTTGCAGAGAGCAGTTAATAGCAGCAAAAATGAGATTGGGATATTGTTTTCAGGAAATTATATTTCTTTTAATTCAAAAGCAGAAAGAGTCTCTAGTTACCTTTCTATGATTGTTTGCTGGAGTATCTACTGCCCTGATTTTTGCAGCAGTAGAAAACACTCCTGGTGTTAGGGATCATTCCACATTCCTCACTCCTGGCAGAGGAGCACATGTTCTGGTACTTTGGTCAGAGGGATTTCTTCATGAGTTTCCTATTCTTATTTTAAATAAGATTAAGTTATAAAACATTTCACAAAAGAACATCCAGAATTTCCCCCAGAAGCAAGTTGGGTTGGATTTGTTCTTGGCCTGATGCTCGTTTGGATTTGTTTCGATAAGATTTTAATGCTGTTGCCTTTTGCAACAGGGAGAACAATGTTCAGGGCCCTCAGTCATGGATGAGAACAGTCTGGCACAGAGATTGCTCTGATTGCAGATCTGCTTAGATATGCAGGAGCAGAAATAAATTGAATTTCTATCAGAGATTATCTGTCAAAGTCCTGTGTTGACTGAGATTGAAAGAAATTAAAATGAGCAGTGCCTGACTGGCCTAGTTAAGGAACAATTTTGTGTGTATGGAAAGCCATGGAAGTGAAAGTGTCTTCTGTGTGATTTTAGTCTCTGCAATAGCTGTGGGCCAAACAGGAGAGTTTGCAGTTCAGGTAGAGCTGAACTGCCTCAGCTTCTCTTGTGTCTGCTCACAAATGCTTTCATGGCACATGTAGCCCTACGTGTTTGTGTGTATAAACAGGACTGTGGAGAGGAGGAAGAGCAGCTGGAGCTGTTGCAGTGGCTTTGCTAGTCCTTTGCTTAAGTACAGCTGGGTTTTAACATGCAAACTCTTTGCAGAAGAGGTTTCTCTTTGTCCATCACTGCTGCAGTCCTAAAGTGTTTCTGGGGTGCAGCTCCAGCCTGAGGAGCTCCATCAGCCTCTCTGCAGGCGGAGTCACACGGATTTCATGCCTGCTCTCATGCTTTGGCTTCCCTGTGAGTGTGTGCAGCAAAGACACAGGGAGTCTGGGATTCTTAATGGGCTAAATTGTCACTAGTTGCTTGGCTGAGCACTTGCAAATAAGGATAAATCCCTTTTTCCCTGGTGGGTACATTTAAAAGCAATGAGAACTTCCACTTCAGACTTTATAATAGCATGGAAATAGTTCCTACATACTCAGAGCAGTGAGGTCTAACCCTGGCACACAGGCCATGTGGGAACTGGTGTCTAACAGCACAGAACTTTGGATCTGGGACACCTCTGTACCCATGAGTGAGGGGTGTGACGTGACTGAAGGTCAAGGGCAGCTCACTTGTTCCACTCGTGGTGGAAAGGGAGCAGAAGGATTCAGGAGGAAACCCCCAACTAAGAACATTTCCTGCAGCACTGCATGGGATGTGTTTTCCTGTTAGGACCAGAGCTAAGGATGCAGCACTGAATTAAATCTGCTCTATGGCCTTTGTGTGACAGTGATTTCCCTGAAGCTCTGCAGTTCCTGGTCCATGTGATGTCCTGTAATGGCATTAGCTGGATGGTTAATTAAAGTACATCTGGATATAGACTTAAATTTGCCAGTGGAGTCAGACAGTGCTTATGTGATCCCATTTTAAGGAGTAATAGTCTTAAGAAAGCACATTTTTAAGGGAAACAGATGTCTTGGAGTGGATGATTAATTCATGCTTAGATTTCAAGCACTCATTTAACTTAGAGGCTTTTCAAAATGGATTCTTTAATTTAGTGCTTCACATCTTAAACATTTAGAGTCAAAATCTTATTTCAGCTGAAGATAGATTTGTTCAAAGTGACACTTTGGAATTGAGTGGAGAAGTTCTGCAAATGAGCACTGCTGAGAGGACAGAATAT